AGAAAATATAGATATATATATGTATACTTTTTCCAAGAAGTGTAAATTTTTTGCTTTTCCAGCATAGCCTTGAATTTAACTTTCTTTTGTAAGGAACACAGTTTGGAAAAAGAAGGTCTTTTTTTAGACTTCAGTAAGTTTACATTTTGTTCAATATTTGTTTGTTTCAAATAGGTTTTCAGTTTTTAGCTGTTTAAGGCTCAGATTAGATTTTATATTATTTATAAAAATCTCTTCTGAAAAGTTTTACTTTTTTTTTTATATTAAAAGTTTAGGATCGCATAATCGAGGACCACCCAACTTTTTAGTGTTGTTTAAATGACAATTTGATTTAAAGTATATTTATTTTGTTCTTTAATTTGTATTTTATTTTGTTCTTTAATCCGGCTTTTGAATGCTGGATTTACATATAATGTTATTTGACTAATTTATTTTTTTTTTGAGTGGTCAGTTTGCATAATATAAAGTTTTATTGTGCTTTTGAGCAGTCAATTTGGCACATGTAATGTTTTATTCTTTTTCCAAGTGTTTCAAAAGCATGTAGGGAAAATTCTGGATACATTTTAGATTCGATTTATTGGTTTTAGATGAAGTTTGATGTCTTGAATGAAAATTTAATTGGATCTTTTTTCAGTTTTCGATCTCAAATGAGCCAAAAGAACAAAACATGTTTTCGAAGCATATTAATTGACTTTTATGAAACTTTAATTCTTTTCCCCCTGATTAAGTTTTGAATTAGAGTTTCAGTAAAAGGAGATTAATTTTTATATTGTTATAATTTTGCATATTTTTCCTTTTCACATTTTTATTTTTCAAGTTAGTTCTACAGATGAGTTTTAATTTTAATTTTAATATGTTTATATAAAGTGTTAAACCTCTTATCCATGGTTGCAATTATTAATATTGTAGAGGAACTGGCTTGCTTTGATTCTAATTTAATTTTAACTGAGATGCTTCAAGTTTATATACCTGTTATATATACACAGCAGTATTTCCTATAAGGGACAATTCTATTGAATAGGTATATTAATATTTTTGCTACTTATTAAGGGACACTGAAAACAATTAAAAAAATAAGATAGAGGTAGAGAAATAAATATAAATAAAAAATAGCTGTAGTAATCTTTTGAGTTTTTGTTAGTAGCCTTCTGAGGTTTCAAAGGCAAGTTTGTGCTTAGTGAAAGATAGCTTTGTGACAAAAGAAAAATAAAATGGAAAGTTAATCCCTCTCCTTAGAAAACTGATTTTCAGGAGAGAAAAGGGAGACAATATATTGAGAAAAAGAAAGTTGTGGTGCAATCAAAAGGATATTTCACATTCACAGAATCCAATTATTTTTGCTACATTTCTCAGTAGTGGGAAGAAAATAGCGTTAGCATGTTGGTAAGGCAATCAAAGACAAGGACCAGTGGGAAAGAAAAGATGGTGAGATGACTGGACCTGTCAAGATACAGGGATCTCCCAATGGAGTGAAAATTCCTATCATTCTTAGTTCTTGCTAGGATTGTAGGTTAAAAGAAGTGTAGTTTTGTACTCAAGTTTATTTTTACATATGTTATGTAGCATGGCTTCAAAGATGAAAAGATTAATATTAAAATAAAAATTTGATTTAATTCATGAAGCAGAAATTGAAAAGCTTAGTTTGACAGATTTAAAGCAGAAATTTGGAATAATTAAAATGTGCTAAAGGATAGAGGGAAAAAATATTATATATTACTAATTAAAATGAACATTCAAAGACTAGCAAATGATTAATCAGACAAAAATAAGCAAAGACATAGCATTACTTTTAAGACAAATTGTGGTGAGGAAAAATTAGAAATGCAACAGACCGAATAAAAAAAACTTAAAATATTGTGAAGGATTTGAGGTTAAAAACATTTACAATGCAGATGAAACAGGATTATTTTATCGAATTTTGTGCAGTAAAACTCTATGCTTCAAAGCAGAAGAGTGCTTTGGTGGTAAAAGCTCCAAGAAATGTCTCACTGCACTACTTTGTGTTAACATGCTACAAGAGTTCAAGCAACCACTTGTGATTGGAAAGGCCAAAAAAACAAGATACTTCAAACAAATCAATGCAAAATCATTAGCACGCCATTGGCATCACAATAAAAAGTCATGGATGAAACAAAGCATAATACTAGAATGGTCGATTGCTCATGATAAAACTATGTCTCGGAGAAGGGGAAAAAAGAGAGAGAGAGAGGAAGATTCCGCTATTTCCTGACAATTTGCCAGCTTACTCACCAAATCTAAAAGTAAAATCAGCAAAATTAATGTTTTCCCCACCTTATGCAACATCAGTACACCTCAAAGCTACAAACTTTCTGCGCATGAGTGTTTAATGTATAATGGACGGTATAAGCTAAGCTAAAATTATCTAATTATCTATTTCAGTTAATGTTGCAGATTGCGTTGTTCCTTAATCTTCGAATTGGATCCGGCTTATTATTTTTTACAGACTGTTAGAGCAATTTTATAAAAGTAAGCTTGAACTTTCGATTATGTCAAAAAGAATTTCCGATTCTGGAACTGCCAAAGGATTTACAAAGCGAAAGCATGTTTCGATGTCCATCAAACAAAAAGTGGAATTGCTGCAAAAAAACGGATAAAGGCATATCCTTCGTTCCTCTAACCATTTCGAAATCTATTTATCGATTTCACGCTGCTCTCGGGGGGGGGGGGGGCTGAGGCACACAATGAACTGTCAGTTGATTTGTCAGCACTAACCTTATCTTCAGGGCAGATGTTTTTATTTTATTTGACTTATAATTCCTTACTAAATGTAGTATTTCATCTCGATGTATTCCGTCTTTGATATGATTTAACTCAAATTCCTGATCATTATAAATATTACGAATACACATCAAATAGTTTTCTGGTTGCAATTTTCTAATTTCGACTATGCGTAATGTATGCTTTATGTATGCGCGCGTTGGAAGAAATGTTTAATAAAGTAAACAACTACATATTAAGCTTTTTTTTTGTAAATTTTGATACCCTTTAGATCATAATTGCTCTTTATTTCATAAATTATGGTTTCATATTTTAAATTTTATAATTTCTGCATGCCACCTTACCAGATTTAAATTGATGCTCTATAATCCGGAAAAACCGATTATCCGGAATCGCCGAAGTCCCGACGAGTCTGGATTAAAGACTTTTGATTGTATCATGAAATGACATAAGATCAAGGCCGACACCAGAGCCAGTATGGCAGAATTTAAAAAATTTAGTGAAGCACTGAGTAACAAAATTTACGAATGGCAAAAATTTTAGAATTTAAGGCAGGTGCTGAGGTATGTATGGCTCACTCACACATATAAGATGAATTTTTTGATAAATTGTTGGTTTTCAATTAGTTTCCTTACTATAATGCTTGTGTCTAGTGAAAAGATAAGAAAATAAAGAAAAGATAAACATGTTAAGAAAAAGACTTTTGGGAAGAAAAACAGAAGATTCAAATAATTTTGTTTTCACTGTTCTTCCAAAAATTCTTAAAAAGTTAAGACATTCATCACAAATTTCATATGAAACAACCATGAAGACATCTTTCATTTCATCACATTTTTCTGGAACTGTAGGTCTTTAAATCTTGCCTTTAAATCCTTTTAATTTAAATTACGAGATGCTAGGTCTAAAATCAATACAAATTCTGTAACAGCAAAATGCTTCATGACTTCTGGAGAGGGGGGAGGTAACCCCAAAAGAGTTCAGAAAAGAGAAGTGAACTTTCAAGAGAAAACCCATACACATTAAACATTCTGACATAATTACATCGAAAAAAACTCTCATCCTGAAAAAATCTAAAAGAAAGCAAATAAAATTAATTTAAAAATAATTACAGAAGCTTTTTTGTTTTATTCTCAAAAGTGTTTCAGAAAGCATGTTTTATATTTACAGTATTTATTATTTTGTTTATTTTTCAAAATCAAAATATTCCCAAGTCCCAAAAATGAAAGGTAATGTCACTTTAAAATAAGACAGGAGAAAATAAAAATGTTTTATTTATATGTTATTTTTTAAAATGTAATTTTAATTTATCATTACTTAATGAGATTTAACAATGTTTGTAAAAAAATCCTCCAAAAATTCGCAAATCTCTGAATAAAAAATGTTGTACACAAACTGATCATGAAACTGCCAAAATGTTGTTAAGTCGCCAAATTTAGCATCACATACGAACTCATATTTCAAAAAAAGAAATTTTTTTTTAAATGTAATATAGAGAGTGTTCACACATTTTTGTAATATGTCAAATCTTGTTAATTTCTAATGATTAATGGTGTACTTTTAGCAAATGAACAAGTTCTTAAAATTGATAACATAATACCTGAAGTAAAATAATTAATGTAGAGCAATGGATACTTTTGTCGTGCAGTAAATATGTATTACTTTTTTAACTGAAGGAAACATTTTTTAATTACTCATAAAAATTTGTTAAAATATTAATAGCAATATATGAGCACTTATTTTTAGAATTTCAAATAAAATATTAAAGAAAAGCTTACCAAAAGAAAAACTGCTGCAACTTGAAATGTATTCTCCATTAACTAAGAATTTAATTATATGGGGTGGTTTTGGTCCCGATTACTTAGTTTAATCTAAGGTCTACTGTAATTAATTACAGATAACAAACTAAAATTTGCTGCTTATTAACACATTTTATGTGTAATGTCAAATACATGAAAAAGGAAAACCAGGTTAATCATCCATTGATATTTGTATTTTTAAAAAACAGATGTAAATATGGAAAACTATTTTACCACTTTTATTTTGCTTTATGCATAAGAACACCATGCATAAAATTTTCAACTTTATTAAAAAGATTTAGTTTTAGAAAGCACAAACAATCGATACTACAAACTCAAATATAATTACCACTTACATCACACTCCAGAACAAATGCAAATAATTTGGCAAGCACTAAATTGATAAAATAATTTTCACTATATATGGAAAATCTTAAATGCATGCAAATATTAATAACTAGTTACCCTTTGTAGCTCCATCAAATATTGGTTCTGATGTATTATAAGTTAGTTCCACAGAATTTACAATCCAAATGCTACCATTTGTCTTAAAAAAGGGGGAGGGAACAAACGTTAGATATTTAACAGCACATATACAAAATAAAATAATTAGTACTTTGTGTATTAATTTCAGCTGAGAAAAATTTATTAAAAAATTTTAACATTATTCTTATGAAAAAATGCTCAGAATTTAAAGAGTAAAGTATAATGTTTCATCAAAGCTACACTTTCCAACATTTAAGTTTAGTTCTATGGCTTGCAAAATAATCTAACTTTTCAGTGCCCATTCAAAAGAGTTAAAAAATCTTGTTTGTGTAATAGCTAAAAGATATTTCAACATACATTCCTAATATTTGTGTATGTATGAAGTTTAAATTTGACATCTATAATAATAAAAGGGAGTTCATCCGTCTGTATATCACATAATGCAGAGATGGAATGGTTCAGAGTTTCAAAAATTTGGAACATATGTTGTTTGAAGAGCAAACATGCCCTTTGAAGCAACTTTTTTGAATTCTGATTTTTTTAAAAAAATTTAGCATTGAAATGGCCTTTATGGATTTTTGTGCATATCTTCTCTTTACAAATGAATTAACAATTTTCAAATTTTATTAACTGTATCATCAGATAGAATAGGAAATAAAAAAAACTTTTAATGAAATTTGTTCTGAATCTTTAATGAAATTCAACGATTTTTCAAAAATACCTCAATGTTTTTTATTACATTTAAATTCTTAGGTTTCTTGAAAATTTTACCGATTATAACGAACTTCCAACCCCTTTGAAACAAGAATGATGCAACCTTCTAGTGGGCGATTTTCTAGGATTAAAAAAAAAATTAATTCTGGTACAACTTTGATTTAACATCATGCGACCTATTTCGGAAACACAGTTTCCAGGATACGATGTCATTATCTGCTACATTATTTTTGTCTTGCACACAGATTTTTACTTTAGTACTGATTTACTTATTTATTTTTTTATTTATCTCATTTTCTCTCTTGCTAATAAGAATTACCTGCAATGGAATTATGCTTAGTCTTCCGCCATTCCTTTTATATGCTATTTTCTTTCAACCCACCCCTTGCTAAATTTCACGTTTAGTGTTTATTGTATTTCATAATCGTATTCTCTTCATTATATGTTTTATTTTCAATTTAATATAAAAATCAAGAGAATTTAAGAACTAATTGGTATTTAGAACTAAATATTTGCAATGAAATTTGCAATTTTGCCCATTTTAAAAGTATATATATTTTCTTAGTTTTTCACTTTAAAAGTTCATTTTTTAAATTTAATGTCATATTGTTTTTTAAAGGCACATATAGGATTTAGTGCTTATTTCCTTTTGAAATCTCTCTTTCCTTTTTTTTACTACAGACAAAAAAATAATTCTTAAAAACAAAAGTATCACAAATTTTCTTTAAAAAATTATTAGCAATGAAATTTGCCTGTCATTTTATTCTACATATTCAGCTGCAATAAAATATTGCTGGAAAAAATTGCTACAGAAGCGGGGATTATGTTTGATAAAACATTAAAATACTCATTTCATATTACGATGATTCTAGTTGCTTTCGTAGCCAACCACCTAACGTAGTTATTGTAAAAAAGAAAAAGTACATAATGGTTTTAAATAACCCAGTCTCACTGAATGGCAACAGAATGCTTTTAAATCCCCGAGTTTTAAATTTGAAAATCATATATTTTATGCTTTGGAGAGTGGCATCACACTTTTTTAAATTACAATGTTTGTTAATCAAAATTTCATTAAGTTCACACAAAACATAAAATAAATACAAACCAAATTTGAAATTCAAAATTTGTGCTTTGTTTACCTAGTGTGTTAGTGTCTAGCAAGACATTAACAGATTTTTAGTAGTTGGTTTTGTTTATTTAATTATGCCAAAACATTCACTGGCTATCTGCCTAAGGAGAGGGATATCTTCATGAAAGGCTTTCTATGGAAAACTGGCTTGTATACACATTGCATTTGGGTAAAACCATGAAGCAGCCAGCCTGTTCACTGGGATTTTAACCCCAGACCAAACTACCAGTATTCAGTAACTTTATCACTTGGCTGCTGTGGGCAACAGACTTTTAAAGAAGGGGGAAAAAAGATAGTAAAGAAATTACACATATAAGATTGATCACATTCCATTTCCATAAAATTTTCTCCAAAACTTTTATTTTAAAATTGCTCTTTGTTGGCAGACTCATTACTTCATCTTTAGTCATATATGACAGAGGATACTGTGATAAATAAAATTATTTTTTACCATTTAGTGTATTTATCAATGAAAGTTAAAAGATTGTTTTTAATAAGTATTTCTTCATTACTCTTCAGTATAATTTTTCCTCCCAAGTAATTTTATGACTCTTTCTAATACTTTTATGTTTCATATGGAACTAATTTTCTCTTTTTCTGTCTATGCAAAAAATGAGTTTTTTAAATAATGGCAAAAAAGTACTAAAATGCAGCTAATATATTTTAATACAGTAAACCGTTATTGTTAGGGGTTTATGTCATCAGGACATTGCACATACGGCAAAACCACATTCCACAAAGTTAACTTCCCATGGAAAAAATGAAACCTAAATATTATTCTAATTGAGAAGGGAAAATGAAACAAATGTTAATTGAAATATTTATATTTCTGATTAATAAGCAGGTACATGATACAATTACTTTTTAAATAGATAGTGATTTTTTTCCAGGGATAGTCTCTGATGCAACTCATTAAATATTTTGTGGTATGTGCATAAAGGAGTACACAATTTTTCATTACCTCTCATACAGTGTCTTCTTTGTGTCAATCTCCATTACAAAATCAGACAGTTCTTATGCCCTTTTTAATAATTCATTTAACTTCTAATATATTAAAGGCTTTTCACTATTGCTGCTTTTACTGTCAGCTGGTGTTATAAGATCATTCAGTTCTTCATTTGTCATTTCACAATTGACTAATTCTTTGATTTCTCGTCTTCCATATCTGAAAATCCTTTGCTGCCTATTCCTATATGTATGATTTCCTTTTCATTTTCAATCTATGTAAATCCTTTAAAATTGTTGACAACTTCTGATCAGAGCTGATACCAGCAAGAATTACTGTTGATGAATTCATTTGTTCCCAGGCAAGTTTAGTCATTTCTATGCAGTGCCTTATATTGAGTTGTTTCCAAAATGCCATAAGTGTGTCAACTTTCGTTCATCTAGTGCTTTATTGCAGAGATATAAAAATAATGTGCTTTGAATGTTTTTATGATTTCTTAATCTATTGGTGGTTAAGGAAATGGTGCTTGTTAGAAGGAATAAAAACTTTACACTTGGATGCAATATTATGAAGACTTTAGCATCCTGTCCTTGAGCATTATTGAGAATTAAGAGAATTTTAAAACTCAAGTGTTGCTGCTCTAAGTAATATTTGATTATTGAATGAATTTTCAAAAGACTCATTAGGCAGGAATACCACAATGCAACCAATGCTCTGTAGCATATTGCCTATAACTGAAATTCACACTGGACAAATTAAACACAGATAATTAAGATGGCGTGTATATGCAAAATTTCATTCCTCAAGTCTGTGTTTGGCAAGGGTTTACCATAATGCATTTCATTATCTTAGATTAAATATCCTATATTATTCTAGATTAAATCTTTTGTGCCAGTGCACATAAGGAGAATGTAAACATTAACATAATATGTATGAAATGATCTAAACATTAATATAGTACACATGAAATAACATAGTCCTTAATATGTTACAGTGTTGCAATTATTTTCAAAATGTAATTCAGATGTAAAATTTTAAACAGGCTTGCTGTTGACTTCTCTGTAATTTCATTAATTTTGAAATATAAGAAAAAACTCACCACTTTCAAAATTCTACTAATTTTCAGTATTTTTTCAAGTAATTTGGAAATTTTACTGCATGCTTAAGTATATCCTTAGAGAATGTATTTTAATTATTTAGTATCCATACCTTATCAAAAACAAGACCAAAGACAAATGTTCTCCATGACACATAAACTGCAGGCGATTTTGATGAAGATTCACATTTTCCTCTTACATATCCATCTTTAGGTACAGTAACTTCCACTTGCTATAAATTAAAAATGACAGTTACTACAAATGAATATTTAACTACAGAGATAAATATTAGTTTATTACAAACTACAATTATCACATACAAAATCTTAAAAAAATATATATATTTAATTCTAATTAAGTGTACAAAATTTATCTGCAATTTCATACAAGCAGTGTTTTTATTCAGAATGTTAACATCACTCTTTTTGAATATTAAACTTTATGTGTATTTTAGATGGGCCTAAAAATTTAAAGCCTTCAAATATAAAACTTTATTTAAGATGCTCTGGGGAAAAAATTGCCTTTCAACCTCTTCTTAACTTTTAAATAAGATTTCATTTAATGATGAGATGCGGAATAAATAGATGCTGTAGAAACTGTATTGCACCAGAGGCGCTGTGTGCACTCGAATTCCTTGGACTAGTGCAGAACCTTGGTGACTGAGAGAGATGTAACACGAACGTGAAACACTAACTAAAGTTTATATGTGTTTCCATTTATTGTGTCATCAAATAAAATTTAGAGAAAATGACAAAAGGTAAGAATGCATCTGACAGGTAAGCGAAATTTCTTTATAAATTTATTATTGAGTTTTAGCGACAAAGAATGCATAAGCATATTTACAGATGCCTAGTAGAAAGAAAACTATTTCATCCATTTTTATGAACTCATATTCAAAAAACTTACTTTAACCATTCTTAAATTTTTATTATGTTTAAATTATATAAAACTTTTTGACTCAACAAATTCTGCTGAATTTTTTGGATTTATATCAATTGTTCCACTTCAGTCAATGATTTCAAGAAAAAAAAAAAAAAAAAAAAAAAAAAAAAAAAAAAAAAAAAAAAAATCATGGATGGGAAATGCCACATAAATAAATAAAATAAATAAAAGGAAAACACTGCACACACACACCCCCAAAAAAAGTTTGCAGTTTTAAGCATCACAGTGTAAAAATGAAAAGAAAAAAAGTGACAAAAATACACTGCAGAGTTTTGAAATATAATCAGTCATAATGGCAAAAATGTCTTGTAATAAATGTCCATTGATCCTGCTATTCAGTTCATCTTTGAGCTTGAGACTTGCTATTCTCTTCCGTTTCTCGACATTTTGGTCACACGTAACACATCCAACTTCAGTACTATGGTTTACCGTAAACCTTCATCAGTTTGCCTTCCACCACACTTCAAATCATGTCATCTGACTAAACAAAAGTTAGCTTCATTTTATTCCTATGTTTTCCATGCTCTTCTAGTTTGCTCCTCCAAACTATCTCCTGGTGAAGAACTAAATTATTTAAAAGCAGTAGCTATTGACAGGGGCTCTTTACCCAACCATTATTAATCAAGCAGTTAAAAAATTCTCATCTCAACACACGAAAAGACACACTCTTATTTTAGGAGATTATAAAAATTCTATTGTCATTCCCTTCTTTCCATCAATTAGCTATAAAGTTGCTCATATTTTGCAGAAATTTAAATTTCGGGTCGTTTATTCTCCCATCAATAAAATTCCGAGTTCCATACTCAAGGACCCCATTCCGGATATGAATTCCTGGAGTATTTATAGGATTCCTTGCCAGTGTGGTTTAATTTACATTGGCCAAACTAAGAGAGCCTTAAAATTTTGCTTTAAGAAGAAGTCTTCTGTTGCCCAGCATTGTTGGTCCGAAAATCACACTTTCAATTTTTCTGCAGCCAAAATTATTTAAAAACATCTTCTATTGGTGAACTAGATTTTCTAGGGGCACTTCACATTCAAAAAAATCTTTCTGTTATAGTTAACGACCCTTATTCCAATCTATCTTTGCCTTCAGCCTTTAAAGAAATTAGGTTTTAGTTCTGGTTTCATCAACAGATGGTGCCAGTAGCTTGACACTTGTCTGTTTCTCATCTAATCACTATATCTTATCTCGTTCATTTGCGCTTTTGCAGCTGAGGATGATGGTTCGGTAAAACCATCAAAACTAGTCCTGTGAAAATTTGAAAATATATCGCTGGCTTTTGTTGTTTGACTTCTAAGCTAGTACCTTGCTTTACTTTCTATTTGGCTTTCCTCTTACACCCTAGCTTGGCAGAAAAGCTTCAATACAGGCCTTTAAGATTACACATAAATTTTGGAGAGAGAAAAATCATGTACGTTTAAATAACACACACCAGTATCTGCAAATGGTGAGGCTTTTATTCAACATCAATAATAGCTGTAATATTTTAATCAAAAATCGAATAATTTTTTTAGGTATGGTAAAGTTTGAAACATGGTATGCACAGTCCTACATTACAATCTTTATAATAATACCTTGTTTCTCTCCTAATTCGTTTTCCATTTGCATTCTTCTTTGATGAACACACTTTACATTACATTCTCTGGAAGGGTTTTCTTTCTTTCTTTTTTTTTCTTTTCTTTTTCTTTTTTTATAAGGTGGTATAGGTTCCAAAAAATGTCATTCAAATAAACAGTGCTTCACTAGATGGATGACCTCATCTTGAAAAATTGATAAAAGTGTGATATTTGTCAATTATTTCATGAATTAAATCCAGTCTAAACTTTAAATGTGACTTTTTTCCCACCTCCTTTTTTATAAACTTGAAAAGCATTGAAAATGGCTCGGTCTAAAAGGTAAAAGAATATTTTTTTATAATATTTTTTTCCCACTGTTTCTTGCTACATGATAACTAGAAATGTATTGATCTACAAGATCCACACCTCCCATTGTTTTATTGTAATCAATTACTACCTTTGGTTTTGTTTTCAGTTTTTTACTTTGGGTCATTACTTCAACAATTTTAGAATCATGAAAAGATGATAACATTGTTACTGCCTTTTTGTCCTTCCATTTGAGAGCAAAGATTCTGCCACGTCTAAATGATACAACTTCGTCAGTTTTTAATTTTTAATTTTTCAATGCTAAAGGTAAATCCTTTTTGTTTTACCTAACAGCTCCAAACACATCTGTTTGATAAGTCAAAAGGATACCACATAATTCTGGCGAAGAATAATAATTATCTAAGGTGAGGCAGTAGCCTTGTTTCAATAATGGCATCATCCGAGTCATAACAACTTGTGAAGGTACCGAGACAGATCGGAATTTAGGATGAAACAAAGTACCTTTCCCAGTATATATAATAAATGACCATATATAACCAGAACTAGATTCATTTAGCATGTATGTTTTGACACCAAATTTTGCTTTTTTTCAAGGGTATGTGCTGGTGCCAGGATAAATGTCCTTTGTACAATACCAGCATTTCATCTATGGTAATACAGTCAAATACCGAAAATCCGCCGACCTGAAATCCACCAACTCCTGAAATCCACGTTGCCTCTCAAAATATAAACATTTAGTTTATAGGTTCCGGACCGCAACATGGAGTATGAAATATCGAAGAAAAAACAGTTACTGGATAATGTTGTCATAATTACCAAATAATAATGAGTCATAACTGAAATACCAAATTATTGACATCATGATAAGAGTTTTTTCCCCTCCAATCTGCATCAAGGTAAAAAAGCAGACGATTAACTCAACTCTTCTTTCAAGTTCATGCTAATTTAAAAATAGAGGAGCCTAATGTAAATGAACAATATAATATAATCAGTTTATATATGTAATAATAATTTAATGCATATAATTAATTATTGTATTAATGTATATAATAATTTAATTAAATGTATCTAATACGCCTTATTTATTTTGCACTTTTAGTCTGAATATTATCTTTTCTGTCCTGAAATCCGCAAAATTCTAAAATCCGCATAACCTCTGTTCCAAGCGTTGCGGATTTCTGGACTTCTACTCTTTATCTCTTTCTGGAGTAATTGTTTTTTTATATACGTCATTCAGATGTTCACAGATAAACCAAACTTTGTAGAGTTTTGGGTTAGGATGTTTTTCTGGATCATAAGAATCTTTGTTCACAAAATGCAAGTATTTTTTTTATTTCACAGTATCAATTATATGACATAATCTTATAAAAAAAAGGAGTTTGTATTGATGTTTTCTTAGTCCAATACATGCTTTCTTCATGTTTTTTAATAATACCTTGGAAAACTGAAAGCACAAGGAACAAATGCATTTCATGTGCTGATTACAGGTTTCCATTCTCTTCTAGCTTTCAGTTTCCTTTTCCCAACAACATTACCTGATTGCTCAACATAACGATTAGTCTCTTTTACAATTATATCTACTATTTCATCATTTATAAAATGCTCATAATATTGTAAAATGCCTGCACTGGCTTGAGATGAAATATTAACTTTAGGTAACAATTTGAACTGAAAACGAGGACAACAAATACTTGGGACATCCGAAATAATTAGGTTTTATTGATGCTCTGGTAAAAATTGTGTGGGATCTTCACTATTGCCACTATCTTCAGAATCAAAAGCATCTGAAAGGAAGCCGCCTTCTGAACCAATTCCCGATTCTTCAAAACTTAACTCCCCTTGTTCACTTGAACTACTCATTTTATAAACATTAAACACGAAAAAGCGATGAGCACTGAAACTGCATCTTTTCAAAATATGTTCTAACATAAAAAATGTTCTGAATCTACATACTACTGTTATCTAATCAACTTACAAGTACTGTGCTGCCATCTGTGTAAATAGAATTGATATGGGTGCAATAAAAATTGGTATTCCCTTGACTTTTTATTGCAAAAGCACAGACTGTGTGAGATACGGGTGCAACAAAATTTATTCATATTGATTGCCCATATGAGAGATGGGCACGACTAGTAAGGGGTTAAATAATCTGATGCACCCATTCCTTTCTCAATTTGGTACTTTTCCATTCTGCACCTGCCCCATATTTTGGCAGGTTTGTTTAACTGTAAACACCCAATTAAATGTGTTAATTAAACACAGCACAACACACAAATAGTTTCTTCTAGAGATATCACTGGGTCTGGATACAGGTTTGGTTTCATTCCCTTTCACAAATACCAAAAAGTGTGTTAAGTGCATAATGCAAAAGTACTCTCAATTTTTTAAAATTTCATTCAGTATGTGGTACTATGTGTCTATTATGTTTATAGCAAATGAATCATAGCCCATGTCTTGCCTACTTAATTTTGATAATGATAGAGTAATGATTTTCTTTCCCATAATGCTTTTAACCTTTGCAATGCAAGCAAACCAGGGACAAATTTGGCTATATTTTCAAATCTGCTTGTTTTTGTAGTAGTTATGATTGTTCTAACAAATAATCATATATAAATTATAAATTAAAAAAAATATTGTTATTAACAAAGCATAATATATTTAGGCATACCGTTTACAGAAAATAACATACACATCAGTTATCTCAGGTCACATTTTTTAATAATTTTTGATACCACGAATTTTCTTAGAAACCAAATATCATCAGTGATATTTTGGTAATACTTATCAATTTATCTTTAGCCATAACTTCTCAGGAACAAATTCAGTAAATTATACTTGCTTGCCATTACTAATTAAATGTTTAGCAACTAACATGAAGAAAAAGTAGCAAGCAAATTGACATACGTGAAAAAAAGGGAAAAAAAGATGCATATAATTTTCATTAGGCATCTTCCTTTCATTCATTCATTCAAAAAAGAAAAAAAAAAGTAATAATAATAATAATAGCTTTAAAAATAGATAAGGGTTACCACATGTTTAAATTTGAGAAGAATTTATTATTTTATAAATATATTTTTTATCCTACATCCGATTATGATATATATACATTGGAAAGAAAATATATTCAGATATACCTCTTCTCCTAGCTCAGTGACATACGTGATACTAATCCTGGCATCAAATTTTGCAAGAAGACAAATCCTATTTTTGTTATTCAAAACAGCGTATGTGTCCTTTGGGAATTTCACTTTCTCAAGTTCTACAACAAATAACAAATATAAACTGAAAGTCTAAAGCATCAACAAGTATTATTTTGCATTTCTTCATTTCTTAAAAGCAATCTAGTATACTGGAAACTCCGAATTCAAAAATAATTTTTTTTTTATACAGTCAAAAGTCTTTAATCCGGACTCGTCGGGACTTCGGCAATCCCGGATGATCGGTTTTTCCGGATTATAGATCATCAGTTTAAATCTGGTAAGATGGCATGCAGAAATTATAAAATTAAAAATATGAAACCCTAATTTATGAAATAAAGAACAATTATGATATAAAGGGTATCAAAATTTACAAAAAAAAAAAAAAAAAAAAAAAAAAAAAGCTTAATATTTATTTGTTTACTTTATTAAACATTTCTTTCAATGCATGCATGCTTAAAGCATACATTATGCATAGTCGAAATTAGAAAATTGTAACCAGAAAACTATTTGATGTGTATTCGTGATATTTGTAATGAATTTGATTTAAATCATATCAAAGACAGAGTACATCGAGATGAAATACTACATTTAGTAATGAATTATACGCCAAATAAAATAAAAACATCTGCCCTGAAGAGAAGGATAGTGCTGACAGATCAACTTCCAGTTCATTGTGCACTGCGACGTTCCCCTCCCCTGTACAGCAGCGTGAAATTGATAAACGGATTTCGGAATGGTTAGAGAAACAAAAGGATATGCCTTTATCCAATTTTTGCAGCAAATCCACTTTTTGTTTGATGGACATCGAAACATGCTTTCGTTTTGTAGATCCTTTGGCAGCTCCAGAATCGGAAATCCTTTTTGATATAATCAAAAGTTCAAGCTTACTTTTACGAAATTGCTCTAACAGTCTGCAAAAAATAATAAGCCAGATCCAATTTGAAGATTAAGGAACAACGCAATCTGCAACATTAACTGAAATAGATAATTAGATAATTTTGGCTTAGCTTATACCGTTCGTTATACATTAAACGCGCATGCATAAACGTATTATGCGCATGCATACACACATATGCACATGCGTAAAGGTATTACGCTATGCTCATGTGTTGACGCATGCGCAGAAAGTTTGTAGCTTTGAGGTCCGGATTATAGATCATTTCGGATTATGGGCATCCGAATTAACGACTTTTGACTGTAATAACACATCAACTATAATAATTCATGACTACATAATTAACTACACTATTTTTAACAAAAACAAATGTTGTTCAAGAATTTTTTGCCGGTTACCAAAACAATAACAGAATGTAGATATGTGTTTACTCTAATTGACTGGAATTTGACATTAGAGTAACTCAAATAAAATACATCAACAAGGAAATAATAATAATAATAATAATAAAACTAAATATCATTATCTATATTTCAATCATGAGATGGAAAGGACCTGAGTTTGAACATGTTCCTTGTTCAAATATTATAAGAAGATAGTTTCTTCAAACTGGTATGAAAATATTCTAAGTGTACTTAATACAAATACTCATTATTTCTCATTAATCTTCTAGATGTTCTAGAAGCACTTTTGCCACTGTAACAGAATATCAAAAATCCACATATCCTGGCACATAAGGTTGTGCTGATTTTAGAATGTTGTTGATTTCAAGTTATAAAAAGGAAAAGAAAATTATGAAAAGAATAAGAAAAAGGATTAATAAAAAAAAAAAAAAAAAAAAAAAAAAAAAAAAAAAAAAAAAAAAAACCATCAAAACAATATTTTTTAATATAAAAAAGAAAATAAGGATAAAAAGCATTTTATTTTATATAAAAAAGAAATAAGGATATAAAGCATAAAAAAAATTATATTTTACATTTTTCAAACACATGTTTACAGAATCCACTGTTTATAGTATCCTTCAATCTCACCACTGCAGCTTGCTTTAAAATTTTAGCTCATTCTAGTTTAAATCTCCCTCCCCTAAAATTATACAATACTTATTAAACAGTCATAATTTTTAATGGTTTAAAAGAATTCTTTCTCTGGGGAAGGGAAGATTAATACTTGCAGGAAAATCAAGAGTTTACTTAGTTAAACTTGCCACTTGCCATTCTGATGGAAACAAAAATAACTAACTGTATTTCTACTGATAATAAAAGGGTACTTACGTATTATCGCAACCAGGTTGGCGCGATTTGTAAGTTTGAGTAAAAAAGTATGAATAGAAAGAAAATGTACATTTATTAATTACAGATAATTTTTAATACGGTTTTTTATATTATTTTGTTTTAAAATATAAAATTGCAATTAAACCCTTCCGGTTTCGAATTTGAATAAGTTGCAGAATTATTTTTTCGGCGGAAACCTTTTGGCTATTGCTTTTAGCACTGATTGAAAACCATCTTCGCCATTAACAGCTTGAGCTTGGCGCCATATAAATTCGATAAGGTATGAGTCAAGATGATGACGGGCTGTTCCTCTTTGTTTTTTGTTGCGCCATTTGGCTGAGCCCCACATGCGCTCTACATGTTGTGTGTGAACGCCCGTGTTGGGATCCACAAAGTTATATTTGTGATTAACAGTTCCATGCAGAAATCCAGCAGTTTCGAACTCACTTGTATTGTATCCTTTCCAGCAATTAGAATAAATGATGCTTCCTTCCTTGATATTTTCGCAAATTTTTTCCATGAGGGTAACGGCGTTTCTGTTAGGTACAGTAACCAAAAAAGTCTTCCTTTTCTCGGCAAATTCCGCCGAAAACCCATTGCTGTGGTAGTACACGCCCAGTGTTATTTTTTCTTTTTACAAATAAATTCTTTTTACAAACTACGTATAACACATAGGGTTGCCAAATTTGGCGATTTATGCGAATTTTGGCCTGGTTGCGTTAATACGTAAGTACCAATAAAAGTAAAACTTTTTTTTACTTTCCTATAACAGGTGAGAAGTCAATAACACATGTGTGGTGAAAAATGCAGCCTGAGGTACTGTTCTGTTATTGGGACAGGATTTAGATATCGCCAAAAGCTGACAATCTGGCAAAAAATTTAAAGCATAAATATAGTAGCCGAAATATTTATGATACAGTTTAAGTGGAAGAAAAATCCAAAAGAAAAAATAACATAATAGATACTTGTAAAATAAGAAACTTTTAATGTTGATTAAACAAGTTTCCAAAGAAATTAGGGGGAAAAAATTTGGTTAGTGAATTAAGATTGAAACAAAGCATGAAACTGAGAATATCATTTCAAATGTCCAAAAACATTCATGTATCAGGACGCTGCTGCCACCAGATGATTTCAATTAAATTACACTCTAAATGGTTGCAATTCGTGCCGCAATGATGTTTATTCTGCCATTTCATAACTTTATAGTTTGCATATGACAACAGGTATTGGGATCGATAAAACTATATTTATGGATAATGCAGAAATTTTAAAATTTAGCCCCTTTTTATTCTTCGATGTTATACCCTTCCCAAAAGTCTGAATATATTATAGTGTCACCAATAATATTTTCTTGAACAACTTTAAGCAAAGCTCTGACACAGCGGTTACACACAACAACTAAAAAATATTCTTTTTTTATTCCTGGGAAAATCCTGCTGCACATCCATTGGTGCGGATGGATAAAACCATTTTTTTATTTTTGAGGCAAAAATACACTTTTGTCAACTTTGACAATAGTACCAGTACCACCTATTTTTACTGATGGTCTAGACATTAATGACAGACTTCCCTTATATACTGTTCCAGTTAATAATGGTGCAATGATTCTTATCAAGTAGATACTGACAAAATTCAACAGAAGTTAATTCTAAACACCATGTATAAATGATATGAATTGCTTTTAAGAAACTGATTCTAAATCCTGAAACCAATTTTGAGATCATAATTCTTTACTTTTCTCAGCATGTCATATCTTTGAATCTCCATCTCAGTGCTTCCTTTGAATTGACATAGAGCTTCATTTCAAATTCCTCATTCTTGAAGAAACTGAATGGAAACTCTGTGCATCATTAGGTACATTCCAAATTTTTATATGCATAGTAAATACAATAATAATAAAAACATATGTGACCATTACATCTTTAGAATTTGCATTCCCTTTGCCAATTTTGGAAAGGTATTCTTTTTACTTTTTTCTAAAAAAGTAAACATTGTAATGAGTTTAAAAATAAACACTGTTGACTTTATTTGAACCAATCTCTTGACGAGTTTACCAAAACATATGTAAATGAGTCTGGTCCTCAAAACAAATATGAACCAATATTATTTGGCAAAAGACGATTTTAGTAAAACATCTAAATCCCAGATCATCTGATTTTAGCAAACCTCCAGTCCCAGTAACAGAAAGGTACCAAAAGAAATAATTGTATTTCTAATAATAATAGAAGTTAAAAAATTTTTACTTTTCCAATAACATGTTAGACATTACTGCTATATATATGTGGTCATGCAAAATGTAGCCTGAATAAGTAATGACTATCGTAGCCATATACTCAAGGATATAAGTAACGGTTATTCTAACTACATATGTTCAAGGTCCACTACCATTCAAAACATAATCATGAAAATTTTAACACATGAATACTACTTTGCCTGAGAAAACTTTCTTGCAAACGTTTCATTATTTGGTCTTCCTCAAATTGTAAAATCAATCTCACTTCCTTTATCAAAATTTAACATAAAAAACATATTTATATCAAAACATGTTGGGTCGCAATGTTTGGCAAGCTTGCACACATTTTGGTTGCTGCCACCATGAAGAAAAGGAAATCAATGTTCCAATTAATACGGTCTTCCTCGAACCTGAATATTTTCACAAATTCTAGCAAAATATTCTAATTACTACAGTCTTCTGTCATAGCAGTATTTTCTTGCAAAGCACTAGGGCCCATCATCTTTAGAACTGACTACTGATGACTTAAATATCATGACTCGTCAAGCAAACTGTTTTTTCTGATAAAGACATTCTTTTGACATTAAGTAAAACTACCTGTGACACTACAAAGCAGGTCAGAAATGGTTCCAGGAATTTGAAGAGAAAATGCTTTTATTGGCCCAAACATAAATGTTTTTCCACCCGAGTCCAATAAAACATTTGCTATTTGAGTCGCAGAAACAATAATAAGCAGCAGCATTCCAGCTCTATAATTTATGGAAAGTGAAAGCCTTTAAGTGCAATCACGATAGCATTTGCCTTCCCCTACCTATAAATACCTCACTGAATTCATGCCTGATAGGCTAACAGCTCCTTTGGTGCTGAAAAGAGGAGCTGCATTATACACTCATGATAAAAAAAAAATAAGCAACAAACATTAAAGTTACAAAAAAAAAAAAAAAGGGTACAAATGTAAAAAGGGGTATTAAAACATACAATTTACATGTGAGGTAGAAGCTGCATTGCCGAATGCAAATAGACAACCAAAATTAGCATAAAATGCAATCCTGCAGTTACACCACAACACCTTAAGAAGGGACATGCCGGACCTATGAGTCAGTTCGCAAGCAGTGATAGTTACATGTAATCCAAGACAGCCAAAGCGGAAAGCATGAGCCAAAGACTGCACAATGAAATGTGTTGGAGAGCTACCAGGATGTTGCAAGTTGGTTCAAGACAATCTGCTGTTGCAACACAGCTGATTGTGCACCACAGTGTAATCAATAGGCTACGGAATCCTTACCAAAGAGATCAAAACCCTTGTAGAATATGTGGGTCTGGATGCAGGAAATTTACCACAACGGCAGACCATCGCTTCTTGTTGATATGTGCAACATACCATAAATCATTAACAGCATGACTGTTGGCTTTGCATCTCTCTGTTGCTGCAGGATAGCCATAGCCCATATCCTGCCACACTGTGCTGCGTCAACTATATGAAGATGTATGAAGATGGACTGTCTGCCTAACGACCTGTGGTTTGTGTTTCTTTGTCCTCATCGCATGTCAGAGCTCTGTTAAATTGGGCCTGCAAAAATCGCAGTTGAAACCAGAGCAATGGAGCCAAGTACTCTTGGAGCCTCAATTTAATATCCAGAATGAATCCCGAAAGACAGTGATATGGTGAGAACCAGCAACATGTTATTGGTGCAAAACATTATCAAAAGAGAGAGGGAATATTACAAAGGAGAACGCCTACTTGTATGGGTTGGGATAGCAATGAATGGCTGCACTGACCTTTAGCTGATTCCTGGGAGTTTTGTGACAGCCATCTGATATTACAACGACATTCTACACTCTCTTCTACATCCTTTCATTGTTGCAAAAGGTACTGACAAGATATTTATGGATGTTTATGCCTGCCCATATAGAACTCAAGTGGTGAGGGGTAATCAAGAGAGTTAAGCCATTCCATCTCTACCGTGGTCTGGCAGATCATTGGATCTAAACTACCATACAGCATGCGTGCAACATATTGGAATAACAGATAGTAGGTTGTAGTGTGCCGATAGGCACCCTCTACAAGTTCCAACATGTACACTATAACAGGAATGGGTGCTACTGACACAACAAGTGATTGGTAACACCACTGCCAGTTTGCCTCTCTACTGCAAACCATACATTTCAGCTAGAGGGTATCATTCCTGTTATGAGCACTGATGTTTCCACTATACATTCTTCTGACCCATTTGGTCTTTCGTGATCGATGTGATGGTGATACATGTGTTTTTGTATATCTTTGCTTCATTGTTTGCTATGTGGTCTAGTAATGCCACACCAACCTCTTGGATTAATTTCATGCATATCCATTAAATGGTTTTTATTGTATTTCGTGTTTTGTTTTTGTTGTTTATTTTTTGAGCAGGAGTATATTAGACAAATAATCTTAATGTTTTGACTGGCAGGCACAGTATATAATTCCAATCAGATAATTCTTGAAAGTTTCTATTATCTACAATATTAGAAAAGGAGATGCCTACATAGCCCTAAAGTGGAGCTTTAAGTTCAATGTTAGCATACATAATATTTCGTAGTGTTGATATCCATAATCTAGTGGATAGCTGTGATAGCCTGCTTTGTTAATCAGTAAGAAGTACGATATTACCTTCTATAAACTGCCTCCACCAGTGAAATATTGAGAAACAGTTGTTTCACAACCATTTGCAGGCTCTAACTCTCAAGTGTTTTATTAACAAGTTTCAGAAATTTAACATAAAATTTGATTAAAAAACCTCTACTCATATTTTCACAGAAAAGTCTTCTTTACTTGTTACAATAAAACATAACAGATGCTTCCACACTACCAAATATTGTGTTATTTGAAGTTCAAATATGTCAAATCTGACCTTCCAGAACAGAGCTGGTATGTGTAATATTAGGCACATTTCAATCAAATCTAATATTATCATAAAGAAATCAGAAATATTTAATTATTAGAAAATATTAAAATCAGCTTACCTATGAATTCCGATTCTTTGGTAGTAGTTTCTTCCATTATCTATATTAAAAAAATATAAATATATATATATATATAGATGTTGATACATGTCTTAATAATAAAAAATATTCAAAGGCAGCCTTAAAAAGAATAAAAAAAAAAAAAAAAAAAACTCGTGTAATTTTTTGCCAAAATACCTCATAATGTATGAAAAACATCTAAAAGACATCCACTTTAAACTAATACACCTTTTCATTAATATCAAGTAGAGTATAATAACTTAAAGATGCCTCAATTAGAAAATTACTTATAACTTTCAAAGTTGAAGAATCAGATATCATGAAAGAAGAAAGTAAAATTTAACACTGACTTTAATCCCATGTACTACTCAAAAGGAAATGAATCAGTTTCTTTAAAACCACATTCTCCAGAATTCTCTTCAATCAAGCATGCTTGAGACTGGATAAGATAAAAACTTTTCCATGCATCTCCTACAGTATGGTCATCAAATTAGAATAATACAACCAAGTAGAAGACTTTTGTAAACTGTGTCCTACTGGTTTAGCTATTTATACAGCTGCATATATAAAATAAGTTACGGTTATCCTAATAAAGCAAAGTTTATCAAAGCGACTTTATAAATAATATATTTTAAGAATTCAAGCTTCTTAAGTTACAGCAAAAGAAAATATTAATAAGTAAAGGAAAAAGCAAAGAACTTGATCAACAAAAATACTCAAAACACTTTGAATTTTTCAGTAAGTTTATTGTGAATATGTGGATGAAATAAAACTGTATTAATGAAATTATCTATTTAGTTAAAAAAAAATTACCCAGTATTAACTAAAATACCCATATTCACTGCAGTTCACACCACAGAAGCATCATTAAAATGCTATGCTCTTTACTTTACTCTATAAATTAATAATTAATTAATCTTCAAACTTTGTAGTTACTCCTTCAAAAATCTCCGATTTGTTTCTATCCAGGGCATAGTTTTGAGCATAATTAGGAATCCAAGACTTTTCAGGCCGATAAAGGACATTTGGTAACCATTAGTAACATTTAACATCTTCACTAAAAAAAACTCTATCAAGTTGTTATTGCATTACTTTTTTTCAGTTACTATCAGAAACATCACAGAATTTTCCTATCAAGTGCTATATTTAATTCCTGAATGCAGTAGATATGGTACAGATGCAATTCTAACAATTTGGCAGCTTCCCATGGCATTTCATATAATTTCTCCTGTTGTACCACAGAATTTCTGATATTTCCATGCACATTTGGTCCGTTTATCTTTATTTAAAACTATCTGCTTGTGCAACTAGTGTCTGTTTGTAGAAAAAAGAATATGTAATGATTTTAATATCCAGCTAAGTATGATTTCATAAAAATATTTAAAATTTCCAATTAGACATCTCATGCATTTTTATTTAAATCAATCAGATTAAAAAGTAGAAAAAATGGTAAAAGTTTGCGATTGGGTGCCCCTTTTTTTTGGCGATTCTTTTTTGACGCCAAGATCGGCACCAGGAAGACACAATTTCAAGATGGCCTCTACACAAAACCAAAATAAGAAGTCAAAGAATTGCATAAACTCTGTGTCCATGTACACATTGATCTGTTTTCACTTAAAAAAACATCACAGAATTGCACAAACTAGGCATTGCGCACTGCTTTAAATTTGACCATGTACACATCAATCTATTTTTATTTTAAAAAAATCAGGAGGCTAAAGCAAAGTTAAACTATCATGGTAACCAGAAATGAGATTTCATCACCAAAATTTTACAAAAAATTTTCCTAATCAAAGGGGCACCCAATTCCACACTAGAGCTGAAAAAATAGTCTTAAAAACTGTATATATTGCTTTTAAAGTACTTGCTACTTTGTTACTAAAAAAAAAGACATTTAATTTGAAAGTTAAATAGTTGTTTTACTCAATATGCTTGACACGGTTTACTGAATAGTAACATGCTTGTATGTGAAAAATAAAAGTATTTTATTTCAGGCAGTGGTAACAAATTGCATTTAAATAGCCAAGTTTGTTGATTTAAAGCTGAAAGATAAATAAATATCTTACATTTTACCAAATGGCAAGTCTGGTGCATCAAAGATAAAAATGTTTTATTTGGAACAAGTGCTGTCACTGCTTGCTTTTAAATTGCTGAGTTTGTTAAAAAAAATTAATTAAATTCATAAAAACATGAAATAAATAAAAAACAAATTCAATATTCAGGCTTCAAGTTACGATTATTTGGGAAGAGGACTATGAGTATTCAAAATCTGATGGCTCTTAAGTGAGCAAGTGCTGGTTCCTTCTCAACATATTAATATTCATGACAGTGTTGAGGTAGCCTCGATTAGAGATTTTAGTTGCCTTCCAACACCGCGTTGGACATTCATCGAATGATGCAGCAGAAAGTTGACTGTTGTATCCTAGGCAATATATGCTATATGAATTAGTTAGCAAGGTGATAAATATGCAACTACAGACTTGAAGGATCAATTTTCCACAAAGCGAGGAACATACAGTAGGTGCAGCTTAATGTGATAGTTAATGCAACATTCAGCTGCACATGCCTACAGCTGACATCACATTATATCGCACTGGCTACAGCTGACAGCATACTGCTCACATTTAAAACCCTTATAATGGTAAAACAGACACGATCTGGCAGGAGCTTTTTTTAATTTTTTTTTTAATATAAAAAACTGAGCATTGGCACATTAGAAAGCTTCTTCTCAAAGATTAAGTAATTATGGGTTAACAACTAATGTATCTAAAGTGCTTCTTTAGAGTAACATCTTTGGAGTTTGGGTTATGTTTACTTTGGTTGGTTATATTTGGGCTACATGTGATTATGTTTACTTTTAATATTAGATGACACTAAACTGCTGTAAAAACAAAATGAAAAACTGACAGCTTTTAAGAAAAAATGCTATTTTTCCCCAACCCAATCTCGTAAAGTGAAGAAAGGTCACTTGAAAAGAATTTGGTATCTCTATGGTAAATTAAATGTAATTATATAAAGTTACCTTTTCTGTTGGAGAGAAAGTCTCTTGCTGTTCAGTGCTACTTTCAGGTACTACTGTTTCTTCAGAAACTGTACTCTCAGACTCTTCTTGTTCTTTCTCTTTTAAATGTCCCTCATTTTCCTGTTTTGTATCAGATTTGCTTTCAGATACCTCGAAAAAAATTAATACCAAACACATTTGAAATCACAGAATGGGGGGAAAAAATTGAAAGAATGAAAGGGCGGGAGGTCATGAGGAAAAAAAGAAAATAAATTATTATTTTCTTTTCTTTTCCAGTTACCTTCAGTTGAAATGTACTGAAAATAATTACGGTACATTTCACGTGAATACTAAAGAAAATTGCACATTGCATAAAAGGAAGCTTTAGTTAAGAATTCCTAACATGAAAATGGTTAATAATGAATGCAAATCAAAAAGTACTTTTAGAGACAAACTTTATTCCTTAGGTACATATACAGTAATAATTTAAGTACAAGAAAAAATTTTCTATTCTTATTTTTCTTTCAAATTTATGGCCTTGATAAAAGGCTGTGTGCACAAACTTCTCTCAGGCAATTATTCCAATTTATAACAGTCTTGTCACTTAACTCTAATTTCTCTTTTTTCCATCCAATAGTCGTCAATTCTCTGTGCCAACTATAAAAGAATCAGAGTGCAGTCAAAAATAAAATAGTAGCACCCTCGAACCACGTTCCCTTTTGAACTGACACTCGCTTTGCACAATCCTCAAAATTGCAACGCTTTTGTTTTTCAGTTTTTAAATAAAGCACCATTTCGTGGCCATTAACACATTTTTTTTTAGTCCGGTAAGATTCCATAACTTTGATAAATATTCATTAGCATGTAGGCAGGTCCTAAATTTTAATTATTTTCCTTTTTTTGAAAATGCGTGATAGAGGGGAAAAAAGGAGTCTTTACTCAAGAATAATAACTAACACATACAATCAAAGTTACACCAAACCCAGCATGTTTGAAGAAGACTTTTCCATTTTTGGTGAAAAATCATGTAGTTTGGCATCTTTTCTTTAATAGGATTTTCATTAAGTTCCTAATAAAGGTACTGCTCTAGGTAAAATTAATAATAATAAAGTATTGCTTAATAAGCACTGGTAATAAGATACTGCTTTAGTTAGAAAGGTAAACATTGCTTTTCGAAGCGAAACATAAATGCAGATGACAGAAGAAATTAGTATCATGTATTTGAAGTCATGCCATGACAGTTCACTGAATGTCTGTGTTGGCTGTAAATCATCTACCAATCAAGTTTAGAAAAGATAAAATCATTGATTATTAGATTAAGCAATAGAGGGAACGATCAACTGTTAATTTAAAAAAAATGATTTTTGTGTGTGTGTTATGATACTTTCAAACAACCGACTATTTTCAGGCATAAAAAAGGTAGTAAAAATATAAAACAATGATCAGTATAAAAATTTTAAAAAATTGCATAGTACCATGGCACTTTCATCTTTATTTTCATCACTGCCTTCTTCAGGCACTTCAGGAATATTTTCTGTTTTTTCTGCATTCTCTTCTGGCTTTACAGGTACATCTTCTTGTATTTTGTCTGGGGGCTCAGTACCTTGGTTTTCATTTGATTCAGATACTGCTGGCAAACCTGAAACACCCTTTTCACTGTCTTCATTTTCTTCTTTGGGCTCAGTATGCACTTTATCTCCAATAGTAGTGTCTGCGTAAATAAATATTCATATAAAGAGCAGCAATAATAAACAAAAAGGCCAGGCATAATAAATAGCAATAATAAATGATTTTGAACACTGTGTATAAAAGAGATAACAATAAATGAATAAATAAATAAAAATTCATACTGATTAAAAATATAGGATCCAACAGAAAAATTACAGTGATCCTCGCAGACTCATTGATCAATATTGTTCAAGTAATTGGTTGCGATTGTGCTGCATCTGGCCACTAATGGCCAACACTCTGATACTTTGAGCGGGCTCACCAGCGGCCAAGCGGTAAAGTCACTGAACACTGGTAGTTCGGTCCAAGGTTCGAATCCCGCGAATGGGCTTGCTGCATGGGTGTTTAGGTGGTTTTCCTCATGTGTAACATGTATACAAGCCATTTTCCCTTAGAAAGTCCTCCACGAAGGCATCCCTCCCCTTAGGCAAATAGCCCTCGAGGCTTTGTGTAATTAAATAACCTAACCTAACTTAACCTGACACTTTGAGCACTCTAATTAACTGTACATATACAGGTACATTGTATTAAATGTAACTTCTGAAATATACTGTTGCATGCGTATGGGTTTGTAGTAGATTAGTAGATTGAATGCACACAACTCTGATTACAGCATGGCAAAATTTATTTTTAAAAAAGAAATACTACAGTTCTGGAACTTTCTACAAAAGCACTAGTACAACTCTACTCGGTATCACAAAGCACAATCAGTAGTTCAAATCCAAGCTACTAAGAACGTTAAACACTGCAACGCAAAGAGCATCTAAAAAGCGCAGCTCTCATGGTCATCCCAATTCTCTGAAGTCATTCTGAACTAACAACTGAGAAACTGATGCTCTTTCCATTCTTATATAGTTTTCCCACTGCCAAAAAATCTTTTAGTACTTTCCACTTCTTGAAATTACTGGAACGTACATGAGAGCCAGATATGGTTATTAGATTAGATTAGTTAAATACAGGTATTAACTAGGTGTCTTAATTAAGGTATTAACTACATTTATTCAATCACAGTGCTAGTTAAAGTTATACATACATTGGACCAAAATGATGCCAAGTTTGGACCACAAAAATGTGTCAGCAAACCGATGACAACTTGGTGATATCTTGCCAATTTCGCGAGATAGCCATTTAGTCAATGCTAAATAGAATTGCCCCCTGTAATTTATTTTTCTGTTTGAGCATTGTCTTTTTCAAGAATTTCATGTTAAATTATTAAAAAAAAAAAAAAAAAAAAAAGCATGACTTCATTAAAATTAATATATATAAACATTTGTAATAATATTATAATGACCTACAATTAAGTTCAGTAATAACACACAAACACTTTTGGTAATCAAAATAGTATGCAGTCCACCGCTTTTAGTTAGTTATTTTTAGATTGCACCACTAAAGTGGGTTGTTTTTAAAATTATTTCTTTGATACTCTTCTGTTATCAAGACTGGATTTAGAAATCTATGCATGTATGTATGTGGATATATGCGTGCATACATGTAATTTCCTGTTCTTTGGGACTTGCCTCCAATCTAAAAATTTATTTTCCCACTGTGCTTAGTGGTAGCAACAAAATATCAACTACAGGAATAAAATAATGTAATCTTTAACAAAAGCAAGTTTAGTTTTTCATTATTTTTTAAGACATTTTTTAGCATTTCCTTATTCTAGAATTTTATTGTTGTTGTATATAGAAAGGTATTTTTAGGGAATCTCAAAAGTACAATTGAAAGAAATCAGTCTGGAGAGTGATGCCATGTTATGTTAGGGACGTCATGCTCATCCTCACGAGTTACATACAGGATGCGTCTACCAGCCTACGTGCCTGACAAAAGTGTGCATAACAAAAGAGTGCCTGACAAAAGTGTGCTGAGCCTCCAGAGAGTGAGTGGTTTGATTGAGTTGATTCCATCAATCTTACTTCTTGTTCACTTTTTTCTGCTTTTCCATCTTCTTTGCACACCGCTCTTGATCGACGCCTGTTTCGAGCACATTGATCAAGGTCATTGTTAGTGAGCAATAAATCGTTAAACAGAAATGATTCACTTCAGTGGGCGAAAGGTTCTGATCTGATCTCCTAAAGGAGTGGTTTTATCCACCTCTCGTGGGTAGTTATTTTTACAAATCCCTATCATGATTACACTTACAATTGTAGCTATAACAACATCTTATAAAAATCCTATCACAGTTTATCCTTTTAAACACATAGTAAAGACCTCTTCATTTTTTTTTTATTTTTTAAATCTACATAATTTGCATATATGCGCTGGAAAGACGGGACACGATTAGCAGAAATATATATTTCTGTGATCAAAAATCATTTTTTAGGTTGCATGTACTGACAATAAATGAAAACTAACATTCCGTTATTTGTTAATAACGCATAAAATTAATAACGAAATATTCAAACAATTTCCTTTCTGCCAAGTGCAACTAAATAAATGTAACAAATTTTATTTCACTTACTTTAATCATACTTCGACTTTTATGTCTTTTTATTAAAATCTTACACCATAGATTTTAATTTAAAATTGCCTTGAAGATGATCAAATTGCAATAACCTTTCAAAACGTGCTTTTTTTTAATCAACCTAAAAAAATTTGAAACGAATTTAATTGAGAAGACGAAAACCAAGTTGTTAAAATAATTCATGCTAATAAATAACTTGTGAGCATTACTGGAAAGTATTCACGCATAAAATTTAAAATTATTTACCATGTTTTAAAAATCTTTGTAAATATCAATGCTACAGCTAATACTTTTTTATATTATTTTGCTTTCACACTATATACTTACGTAAAATAAGACATAGAAACAGAATTAGATAAGAAAGATAAATTATCTTTCTCAGATCGACAAACATTTTCGCAATCGGACGACTACTGGATTTAATATACTTAATAACTAAATGCACATTCTTTCAGTAGCCCTTCCATTCCAAAACCGCCGCAATACGCAAATACTCAAACTACGACCGGCCGTAGTAAAACAGACAGCTTCTAAAATATATCGCTTCGCCGCTACATGGAGGCCACACCCATTATTCAGATCAAGAAACCACCTTGGGATCAAAGCAGTGTAACAACAGCTAAAACTTTCGTTTTTTATATACTTGCATTTTCGGTTTTGTACAAAGCAGAAATGAAAGGTGATATGTCTTCCTACACGGGCTTAGAAAAATAATGACCGGCAAAAGCAAAGTTCAGAAGTTGTTTTTGATTAAAAACGAGAGAGAGTAGAGAGAGTCGGAAACACATTGGAGTGGAGAAATAAAGCATCAGTTCTATAAATTCCTGCTATAATTTCCAGGGAACGAATCACATATACTGATGCAGGTTTTGAAATTTCAGTTCGGATTTCCGGATAATATTGTTATCATTTTATCCTCAAAGCCATTGGTATCTACCAGATGCAGAGCCAGATTAAGACTTTTAGAGACCTGAGCTATAAGCATAGATAGGGATTTCAGCAAATGAAGAGTTTGCACTCTTTCTTTTTCCTAAAATGCAATGGAAAACATCAATTTTGCGCTCCTTCCTGTATACAAAAATGTTATGAAGAACATCGGTTTGGCTCCACTTCTATGCTGCGCCACAGAACAGATGTCACTCCCTTGCACTTCCCTAGCCTAGGCCTCCTATAAATTTACATGTTTCCCCCCATTCCTTCACTCTTAGCTGTACCATGATGAAACTTTCGGGATGATCTCGAGTTATTTTGCTGAGCTTTTTTTCCCTTGACGCCCTAAGCACGGACTTGTTTTCTTAATGGTTAATCCAGCCTTAATGAGATGTACAAATCATGACCAGCTATTCCTGCTTAGGGAAATCATGAAAGAGCCATTACTGATTTCCCAGGCATCTGGTTTCTGGATATGAGACACTTCTAAATTATTAACAAAGATGTGGAAGTAATTCCATTTAATTACAAAAGTACTTTGTAATCAAGGTTTCTGAAATATCCTAAGAAGGAAGAAGTATTATCTGCTCTGTAATCAAAACGACCAGCTTTACTAGTGACACCTAGAGGCAAAAGTAGTAGTTTTATATTTGAATGAATTATAAATGTATAAGTGAATGCGAAAAAATAAGAGGAATCTCAGCGATGAGGAACGTGTAAAAACAGAAGGCAAAATTTCTCTTTTGCAGTCGTGCAGAGATGATATTCTTATCGCGCATGCGCGGGGAGGTGAAGCGCTGAAGAAATTGTGTGGAGCTACTTCCCCTCCCCAACGACGTCACGTGCATATCAGAGAAAGCGGAATTTGTAAACACTGAAGTTTGGGGTTTGACAGGTGGTTGCTGAATGATTGCAATGATGAGCCCCAAGTTTTAATATTTTCTGCAAATAGGAAACTTGTCTATTTTTAGGTTTTCATGCAGTCTCTGTTGCTTATTTTTTAAGGCAATGAGAAATGTGAACACTTCCGAATTAATGAAACCTCAAATAGTTCTTTATTGTATTTTGTTTAGCATAATTAATGAATTATGTTTCTGCCAAACTCCAAATTTTCTTATAATACTAACAGATGACCAAGACAACGAACTTGGTGGTTTGGTGAGCTTTATATTATTGTGTTATCGAGTGGTTATTTACTTTAAACAGATCATATAATATTTCTTTTGCTTGCAGATTCCTATGGAACAAACTCGGTCTGTTATTGGAGGAGAGGGAGCAGAAATTAAAAACATGGTAAATAATTTTGGATTTTTTATTTCATTTTTTTTGGGGGGGCACAATATCTTTAAAAATAATTGCTATTAATACTAAAATAATTTTCAATATTGTTTAGTGGATGCCTACCAAAGCTGTATTTCTTATAAAATTTGACTTTAAGCAAGTTCTTCCAAAATAATAATAATAATAATAAAAAAAAAAAAAAACAACTACTTGCATACAATGAATTTATATGACTGCGTACTTAACTAAACTTACATAATTCTTACTGTGAGTGCAGAAGCAACTATTAATTGATGTTTCGAAGAATGAATCATTCAGATTACATTTATGGATTAATAGGAATAACTTGATTCACTCTGAAAATCGGTTAGAGCAACATCATGTAAGCAGCAAAAAGCAGCTTTGTTTGCCATTTTTGTCCAGAAGATTGAAAATATATTTCTAAAAACACGTACTACATTTCAGTATACTAGCTGCTCTATTCTTATCATTCTGCTCCATCAAACTTTTCCAAGCTTCCAAGTGGAATTTGTAGCATTGTAGCATTGCAATTATATATGCTATATGTTGTACCTATCTTAAGGGAATTGGACCTTTCTGATAATCCATATCTCTAACAAAAAGCCAGAAAAGTGTACTGTTCATGTTAACAAAGATATTTACAAGTCTTCAGTTTTACTATTATTTTTTTTTTTGCATGTTATTTTCTTGTATAGTAAGTAAATATTAAGTAACATTTTATTAATTAATATTTTCTTTTTCAGTTTATTATAGTATCATTGTTCTTTTAAAGTATCCACTTTCACCCTTTCCAGTTTGTCACTACACCATTATGTTGTCCAAGTCGTGCGAGTTTGCTTACTGGAAAGTATGCCCATAATCATGGTGTTGTCAATAACTCAGTTAGTGGAAACTGTCATTCCACTCAGTGGCAGAGAGAGCATGAACCGAAAACGTTTGCTACGTATTTTAAAAGGACTGGCTATACTACGTATTATGCTGGGAAATATCTTAACCAGGTATGAAATTAACTAATTTGTTTTAATTGCATAATATTTTTCAGTGGTATGAAATAATTGTTGAAATGCATATTTCAGTATGGCAAAAAATCGGTTGGAGGAGTAAAGCATGTGCCACGAGGCTGGGACCATTGGATGGGATTGGTAAGTGATCAGTTATTTAGTAAAACATTTTGAAAAATAATGAATTCCTTGAAATGTTTTTCTTATTTTTTAATAAAACAAAATACTGATTATCCTACTATATTGAGATCATTTCAGTTTTTGAATAAACAAAATTTTCTGACCACATAGCACACAAAATGGTATTTTCTTGTTAAATGGCCACTGCAAGCACTTTGACAACATTTGAAATTAATTTTATTAAAAGTAGAAAAACATTATATTTGGGAAAAGTCATATTTATCCATGAGGAGGCCATAATTCAGCAGCTGCTGTTATCATAGAATCAAATAAGTGTGATTTCTAATTTCCATGTATATTTAGCGGTCTGTTGCACCATCTTATGAAACAGAGTGAGGAAAAGAGCCCTGGAAATATGAAACAAATTAATGGCCCAAGGATGCTCTCCTGCGTTTTTTGCTTGCATCTACAAATATTTTACCTTCCAATAAATTGGTGGCCATTTTTTCTCTTTTGCTGAGTATACAAAATTCCAAGCTTTTGAAAAAAAAAAAAAAATTGCTTCTTTTTTTTTTTTTTTTTTCCCCAATTGATGATAAATAGGCTAACATTTCCGATGGAAAAATAACAAAGAGTACAAAATAAATGATATTATGAAGGAACTACTGCTTATTTCCATTTGATGGGAAGTAAAAAAGGGTCAACATTTTAGAAGGAAGTATAATGAACAGAGGATATTGCATGGTCTAATGTAAGTGGGAAAATTAAGTATATGTCATGTTATAAATATTACAAAAACCGGTTAATCTTTGAATTATGATAACTTGGCGATTTTTTGGCGACCAACCCTGCTAGTTTTTGTTTGGACGCCATTTTGTTCACGAAGTAAAGGCATGTTTTTTTTTTAATTCAAAATTTTTTTCCAACAATCTGCTAACCGAATTACGCTTATGCTAGAACTTTCATGGAACAAAAGTGCTTAATCATGACAAATATTAGGTGCAAAATTGGGAGAAAGTGTAGAATCGCAAACTGCTTGCCGCGTTTTTAAGAATTGCACATACACTGTATCCATGTACACGTCGACCTATTTTCACTTAAAAAAAAACATCTCAGAATTGCACAAAAAATGGCATTGCGCACACTCTTGACTTTATCCATGTACACTGCTAAAGTCCTAGCTAGTAACCTTTATCGCCTTACCAAAATGTCACCAAACTACCTTTACCATATTCCAAAGATTAGCTTAAAAACCTACTGCTTTGTTTTTAAAATTAATTATAAATTTTAAATGTTAAACATTTTAGAGTGGAAAAATGCATAATCAATGATATCACGTGGACAACATTGCACACAAAATGGTTTGAAAATCAAATATATCGCCCATTAAAATTACGATGATTAATTTTTCCGATTCTGGTAGCTAATCTTCTGATTCTGGCAGATGAATGAGATGACTGCTTTAATGATGAAATATGGGCAAAACAAAACCTAGGTAGATTCCAATTGTGCTTATATGCAGATCATTATATATTTTCACAAAATTTCTATGGAAGATTTTTCATAAATTCTCTTTTGAAAGTGTTAAAAGGTACTTTCCTATTAACTTAAATCTTGATTGTTGATTGAAGATGGTGCAACAGACCGCTAAATATACATGGAAATTAGAAATCACACTTATTTGATTCTATGATAACAGCAGCTGCTGAATTATGGCCTCCTCATAGATAAATATGACTTTTCCCAAATATAATGTTTTTCTACTTTTAATAAAATTAATTTCAAATGTTGTCAAAGTGCTTGCAGTGGCCATTTAACAAGAAAATACCATTTTGTGTGCTATGTGGTCAGAAAATTTTGTTTATTCAAAAACTGAAATGATAGTAGGATAATCAGTATTTTGTTTTATAACAATCTTGATTGAAGTTACTTTAAGAATGAGATAAACTCTGGCAATTAATTCTTCAATTTTAACAAGCAAAGTAACCATTTTGGTATGCATTCATTTTACTGTATTCCAAGCTGTAATGGACTTTATAAACAAATAGTTTTTTTTGGGGGGGGGTCTTAAACTCAGTTTAAAAATATGTGCTTGTTGGATTTATCAACAGACAAAATTGCAATATATTTCTGCAAAAATATAAAATTTTCTGCAGCATCTCTTAAGAGAACAATTGGTTTGAATCTATTTTCAAAGCGATCACCATGAAATTTTGACCAGGGCAGAAGTAGTGGTAACCTGTAAGTAGGTTTATTGACTGATTTTCAGAATAATTAAGTAAGTAACTAAAAGTCACTATGTGTATGTAACAAACATGTTTTTCAATAATTAGCCGTCATTCGTCTTCTGTGAAAAATCAACACACTGCATTAGGTAATCGCACTAATATATAAGAACCATGTATCATGCATCTTCTATGTGATCTTCTGTGCATGATGCAAATCTTCATTTGCCAGAAATGTGAGGCCTGCATCATGGTCCAGGGTCTAATTTTGAACACCTTCTTTAATGTCACACGTCATAACTTGAATGAAGCAACAGTCCGGACTATAAAGAAAAATGAAAAAGAAATAAGAAGGGCAGTTGCTGCAGGATCTTCAACATCCACAAAACTTGCAGCTCGCTTCCAGGCACCAATAATTGAGAAGATGAGCACTCAACATTTTTATTGATGATAGTTGTCAAAAAGAATTCCATTGGATGATAAAATTATTAAGCAAAAAGCACTCAAAATTTATAAACACCTTAAAAAACATGAAGAATCATCTTTCAACCCAGACTTGCATCAAGTAAAGATTAGTTTAAAAATTTCAAAAAGCATTTTTCATAAGAATTCAAGGAGAATCGGCTGATCGTGAAGCTGCTAGGATGTATCCAGAAAAAAGTCAAAACATTATGGAGAAGAAGGATAGACAAGCTTTCAGTGCCGACGAAACTGGGCTTTGGTGGAAAAAAATGCCCAGTAGAATCTTTATATCAAAAAAAGAAAGAACTGCACCCAAATTTAAGGTGTCTACAAATCGTCTAATGCTACTTTTGTGCAGTAATGTGTCGGGGGATTTTTTGACAAAAAACATTGCTAGTTTATAGTTCTTTGAAACCTTGTGTGCTTAAAGGCATAAATAAAAACACCTTATTGGTATATTGGAAAGCAAATCCAGAAAAAAGCGTGGGTAACTGGAAATTTTTTCAATTAAATTGTTTTTTAAATTGTTTTATGCTGAACGTTCCTTATTGAAGGCAGAAAAATTTGAGCTTCATGGCACTGTTACTATTAGATAATGCTCCATGTCACTCACAAAGATCTGAATCATTCCAACAAAATACTGTTCCTATCGCCTAACACTACTTGTTGTTCCAGGTTTTGGATTAAGGTATTATTTATACCTTTAAAATGTATTGTATAAGAAGAGCATTATAATGTAATTTAGATGTAACTGATTCAGAATCAATTAATGTAATCAAAGCTTGGAAGAAATTTTCAATCAAGCACTGTATAAGCATCAATATTTTTGTCATGAAAGAACTGAAAACATCAACTCTTCAGTTGGCCCTCTTCAGTTGAAATAGAAAAACGTATGTGGATATGTTTCATGTCTTTCTGAATTAGATTCTAAATTTCTTACTTTTTTGCCTATAATTGATTAATTTTTCAGCAGCATATTGCATGGAAATAATATTGGGATATTAAAAAAAAATCTTTGTGATACTGTATATATAAATACATAAAGAAACCTAATATGAGGCTAAAAATTAAAACAAAAATATATGTGCATGTGTGTTATGTACTATTGAAATTATAAATATTATATTAATATTAAATTATACATGTTATTATATATATGTCATAATAAAAGCAAAGGAAAAGACGGAACACTGTAGATGCGTGATTAGACCCATATTGAAGAAGATTTTGATTGCGTAGTATGCTAGTAATGCTAACTTGGTAATTTCTAAAGAACTTGGCAGTTGAGGCAGTTTTAATTCCATTTTTATTTGCAACTGATATTTGTGGCCACAATCACTTGGCACTCTAGTTGTGCCTTTCCACAGAAGATTTACATTTTTGATATTGTTGAGATAGAAAGCAAGCCAGCGAAATTACATTTTGCACAGTAGAGAGCAAAAGCTGAAGTGCGTAGTTATAAAGGATCGAAGCATGGCGAAGAGAAAAGTTTTGGTTTACAAAGGCAGTTTCACTTCCCAATTATTACATCATCAGAACTGCACTAAATTTTCCATTGAGGTTTCAGGCTGCAGGAAACTGTCCTACCAGATAATTAATAACTGTAATGTTTTCAGTTATTCCAACACATTGTGGGTGAATGGTGAGGCTATTCCATTTCACGTTTGGCAGATGGTTGACGAAGCTGGGATGTTTGCACCACGGAGAAAAATGACGACTCGGGACTTTTCACTTTTAACAGCATATCTTTATTTTATTTTAGAGCAGATGATTTTTTCCAGATGAAGTTACTCAAATAACTTATTCAGTAATTGAATTATTAGATATGACTGACTTTAATACGTTATAACGTTCTAACAAAGAAAGAGGAGCATAGCGGAGGTGTTAGCAGAACAAAGGCGAGAAGACATCTGTAGGAGAACTTATTACGCAGCATTTATATGAGGAGGTTATGTGGTTATGTAAAAAGCGCAAATGTTCTAGAAGGTACTGGTCTAGGGGAAGATCCTGACATGCAGAAAATTAATTAAAGGTTGCTGGTTCGCAAAGAGTGCATCGTATTTTTTTTTATATTTTACATATATATATACAGTCAAAAGTCGTTAATCCAGACTCGTCGAGACTTCGGCGATTCCAGATTATCGATTTTTCTGGATTATAGATCATCAGTTTAAATCTCATAAGATGGCATGCAGAAATTCTAAAACTAAAACTATGAAACCGTAATTTATGAAATAAATTATGATCTAAAGGGTATCAAAATTTACAAAAAAAAAAAGCTTAATATTTATTTGTTTACTTTATTAAACATTTCTTTCAACGCGCGCATACGTAAAGCGTACATTACGCATAGTCGAAATTAGAAAATTGCAACCAGAAAACTATTTAATGTGTATTCATGATATTTATAATGACGAGGAATTTGATTTAAATCATATCAAAGACGGAGTACAACAAGATGAAATACTACATTTAGTAAGGAATTATAAGCCGAATAAAATAAAAATATCTTCCTTGAAGATAAGGATAGTGTTGACAGATCAACTTCCAGTTCATTGCGCGCTGCAGCGTGAAATTGATAAACAGATTTCGGAATGATTAGAGAAACAAATCACCTCTTTTTCACTTTCTTCATACCTTTATCCATTTTTTGCAGCAATTCCACTTTTTGTTTGATGGACATCGAAACATACTTTCGTTTTGTATATCCTTTGGGATCTCCAGCATCAGAAATTCTATTTGACATAATCGAAAGTTCAAGCTTACTTTTATAAAATTGCTCTTACAGGCTGCAAAAAATAATAAGCCGGATCCAATTCGAAGATTAAGGAACAACGCAATCATCAGCATTAACTGAAATAGATAATTAGATAATTTTAGCTTATACCGTCTGTAATACATTAAACGCGCATGCGAAAACATATTCTGTGCACACACATATGCGCAGTCGTAAAGGTCTTACGTGCACGCGTAAACGCCTATGCGCAAGTGTCAACGCGGCGCATGCGCAGAAAGCTTTTAGCTTTGAGGTCCGGATTATAGATCATTCCGGATTATGGGTGTCTGAATTAACGACTTTTGACTGTATATATATATATAATGTAGTATGTTATTTACCTCTTTTAGTTAATTATTTGGTTAATTATTCAGTTTGGAGGGTCATAAAAAATTGCAGGGAAAATGTATGCACAAAAGCGCCAAATCTAGCAAACACGCCCTAACAGCGTGCCAAATCTTGCATATGCGCTGATTTCAGATTGCGTAAATTTATATAGTAGTTCTATATTTCTTAAGACGCCATTGAAATACTAGTTTAATTTTTAATTCCTTTTTTGATATCCTATGGATTTAACAATTTGGGAATTCCCTATGATGTAAATAAAGTCTGCGATAGAATTTTGGGTAAAGTGCAGAATCACCCACTGCTTCGGATTAAGTGACTGCTTTGCAATTGCACTGCTTCCGGACTGTTGCTTCGTTCAAATTATGAAGTGTGAAATTAAAGAAGGTGTACGAAATTACATAATCCAAAGCAGTGGGTGAATCACCACTGAATCACCCATTGCGTTTTTAAGAATTGCACATACTCGGTATCTATGTACACATCGACTTATTTTCACTTAAAAAAAATCCCAGAATTGCACAAAAAATGGCACTGCGCACACCCTTGACTTTATCTATGTACACATTGACCTATTGTCACTTAAAAAGTAAAAGAAAATTGACAAAATTCCAATTGTTTTTACCCTTGTAAAAAGCGGCAAAGAAATAAGCGGGCGATTCTGCACTTTACCGAAAATGTTTTCAAAGAAAAGGCATCTTCATTATAGAAAATTATTTTTGAACAACCAACGAGATGACATTATGCTTTAACGATAACTTAGTAGTGAAATATTATATGAAATTAACCTTTCATCTAAATTAAAATATCAATATTTAGATAGTTATTAACTGTTATACTTCCTTTTTTGCGTTAGGGTTGCCGCAATTACATTTGGCAGCACTGGCATCAATAGTTTGGCGATTTTTTACGGCCCTCGAAACCGAATAGTACCATTATTTGTTTCCCTGCCATTTTTTCACAGGTTAGAATATGAAAACTACTGACTTTATTTTTTGATGCCATTATGAAGTCAGAGAAATTAAAATTTAGTAGATTATTAAATTAATTGATGGAATCATTTTCATTTATGTATTTGTAATTATTTATTTTTATTTTCATGTCAAAATATCGCATTTTAGTTATGACATCTAAGAAATAACTAACTAACTAAAAGCGATAGTTTGTATACTACATCATTACCAATATTTCATTTTGTGAAATTTAGAGTAATGTATATTTTCATTACATTTTATTATTATGTTTATCGGTGTCCTGCATCATTTTAATAGAATTTACTATTAAGTTTAAGTATTATATATGGTTTCATTTTAATCTTCTAATATAGAATATAGTGTCTTTTTCTCACGTTAGGTTGGGAATTCACATTATTATGATTATTCATTATCTGTGAATGGCCGTGAAGAAAAACATGGTTCTAATCCGCAAAACGACTATTTGACTGACCTTATAGTAAGTAGAACGTTTAAGATATTTCAGTGATCTGCAAATTGTAGATTTAATTCTGTGTTTTATTAAAACATGAAGCATCTAGAAAACTCAAATCAAATGCAATATTTATTCATAAAAAATTATTTGTAATTCTGCGAATTTGTAGTATGTAGTAACAGCACAGAAATTAATAAAATTATGAGATATTTTAAAATAATTTTGGTATCTAAAATTTTTATTTATAGTTATGTCTAGCAGATGCAAAAGTCTGCAAAAAGATTGGCAGTGTATGAAAATTTAACTGTGAAGATAAAGAGTTGTATGATGCTTGACATGATGTCTTTATCTTATAAAATAACCATGAGGAAACTTATTATTTAAGGAAAGATTGACAACAGCTTTGCTGTTTTTTCATCATCTGAAGAATCTAAGACATGGTAAATAGGAAATTCTTTTGCTACAGAATTGAAGATTATAAGAATCTTAGGAGAACTGATTTTTTGAAAGAGCAAATATGTTTTGCTTTATTTTTTGCTAAATGCTGCACACTTTGATTGTCATTGTATGACACAGTCTATTTTTATTCTAGTCTCTGAGAGCTCTATTCCATGTCAGGATTGTGTGAATCACATTGCCGTACCATGTTAGAGAGAATTATGGCTACTCACCACGTCAGTAACCAGGACGATCCCTCCAGATTGGCACTTTGGGAGGACATACAGTCTTGATACATTTCTCGGCTTCAGCTGTGGGATTATATATAACATTGAATACCTTTTGATCACTATGCAGCCACAAGAGAATTTCCCAACAACAAAAACAAACAAACAAAAAAATTTTACAAATCCTTAAAAAGAGGGTCTATGAAATTAATAAAATGAACTATTTGAAATTGATAAAGTTTTATTCAAAATTCATACCAGACTGAGGTTGCTCTTTTTTTTTGGGGGGGGGGTGTTGATTTTATGTCTCACACTGGCATGTTTGTTTATCTTCTTAATGTATTGGTCATCCATGTTATCTGCAGTGCAGTTTTGTGCATTCATGTTACCTCATGAACCTCATAGAGAAATATTTTGTAAGAGGCAGAAATAAAATTGGTGCATTAATATGTTGTCTGTTAAGTCTTGTTTAACAGGCAAAACAATATCCCTTAGTGATTGAAGCAGGTACAAGTACAGGTAAAAGTGGGCAGGATGCCAAAAATTCACCATTTGTTGTATGGATATAGTTTGCTGCACTAACTGTGCAGTTCTGTCTCAATTTTGAGGAAGAATCTGGGGGTAGGGAGGCAGGCCAAGAATCTCCCACTCCTCTTTCCCTACCACCAGGCTCTTAAGAGTACTTTTGTCTCACCATGTGTTTTAAGTTTCCCCCTTGCTGCACAGACACTATACATGTACACACATCCATGCCTTTTCCTTGATTCGTACCTGGGCCCATCGATATGGCAGTTAGCATCATCAACCAATATAGCAGCTGGGTGGCTAGTGATTGATGTATTGATTTTGTATTTTGATTCCAAATGTGTATTTTTATAAAAATGTATTCAACAACAAATGATATTTATTTGTGCTTATAATGTTGCCCTTATTTTATATGTCAAAATGTTTATTTTCAGTGTTGGGTATTTGTCTCATTTTTTAAGTTCATATAATTTTCTCTAATTTTATGAGGTCTGTAGCCAGATTTTTTGTATTGTGATACTTAATATAATGTTGTATTGCATTCACAATTATTGACCTTATCATGAACTAGCTTCTTGTCAAGTTGCATGGCATAAATGTTTACGTTTATCTTTCCAAATTATAATCATAAATGAGCCATTTAAAATAATTTGTGTTTCTTATTAATATTTTGATATCTTTAATTGTAGCAAATTTTATAACATTAGTGTGACTTAAGTATTTCTTTTTGCCACATGTTATGAACCTTTGGTGCAGAATTTTAGAAAGAAATCGTATTTCTCTTAATTTTAAATTTGGGTGCTGATTCACTAAAAGCTTTCAAAGTTTTACAAATATGACCAAATTTGTAAATATAATTTACTAGCTGCTATGGGGCCAGCCTTCATCTAGCTTTTAAATGTACCATACAAATGCCTAAAGGGAACACCAAACCTTAAATTTAAAACCTGCACAGAATTTTACTCTGCAATAAAAATGTATCACTTTAAAAAAAATTAACAATGAAATAAGCAATATCCCTTAATACAAATATTAATTCTCCTAATAAATAAATTAACCAACTTTCCATTGCAAAATCGTAAGAATTCAAATGGTACAAAGAAAGTTAAGAACTTTGTTTCCTAAAACAGATCATGCAAAACTTTTTATATAATTAAAATTTTATATAATTAAAACATAATATATAAAAAATTACAATGAAATAAGCAATAAATCTCATATTTTCAAGAGAAAACAGTCAGCAGTCCAATATCCAAAGCAATGAATGAAAAACTTTTCCCAAAACCCCATTTCTATAAGAATGAAACTATCATCAGAAAGCAATAACCAATCAAAATTGTGCTTTGTGGATGACATAATTAAAATATACAAAGCTCTTTGCCATTAGTTATTAAACAGAGAGATAGGGAAAAAAAAGGCAATTCTTTTCGTTGTGCATTGCGATGTACGTGTTGCATATCCAAAAATCAAAAGAAAATGAGCAGCATTTTATCTCATATTTTCAACAGTCAGTAGTCCAATATGCAAAAGCACTGAATGACAAACTCTTGTCAAAACCACATTTCTAAAAGAAAGAAGCTATTCAAAATGATGCGATTTCATCAAAAAAGATAAAATTAAAAAAAAATATGATTTGAATTTTGAAAAAATTGCCTCAAGGTTCACTGGCTCTTGTCTAGATGCACCTGTGTACCAAATTTTGTAGCCCTGAGTCTATTAACTTACATGCAGCATGAACAAAAACACACACACATACAGACTCTTTGTTATATGTGGCGATTCTGATATGTCTCAAATTCAGTTTTAAATTATTTTTCATTGCTGTTGATTCTTGTCACTTCCTTTGCCTTGTAGCCTCAAAGCTTAAAAGTAGTTTTTCTTTGATTTAGAAACTTTCTTAGGTGCATTTTTCTTTTTAATCTGTTGACTTTTTTTAATCACAATTTTTTTGTGTTATCAACAAAGCCCATCTATCTTTGTCAAAAAATAAACTAATCTAATGAATCGTAAATAGTCATTGAAAAAGTTTCATAAAAATAATATTGTAGATAAAATGTAGATTCTGTATAAATAATACCTTGAAACTCAATCAAAACTTTTAAAGATACTGTATTTTCTAAGTAGGAAACTGAATGTAATTTATCAGCTGTTCACTAAGTTAAACAAAAAAAAAAAAAAAAAAAAAAAAAAAACAACTAGAACATGTATACGAATATAAAAATAGCTAATGCACACATTATAAAAAGTAATTCAAAAAAGTCTTCTATATATTTGCCATGTTTATAAAAATCGTAGAAAAATATGTGATTTGTTATTTTTAAGCATTAGCAAGAAAATATTTTTTTTTTTTTTTCTTTTGTGTGTGTGTGTGTGTGTGGTAAAAACATTTTAGCAATACTTGGTTGTTCATTTGCTACTATTAATCAGGAAATTTAATTTGCAGATGAAAAGGGCCATTGAGTTTTTATTAAAACAAAATGGAACAGTTCCATTTTTTATGTTTTTGTCTCCTCCAGCACCACATGCACCATTTACTCCTGCTCCTCATTATAGATATGAATTTTCTAATGTTTCTGCACCCAGGACACCAAATTTTAGCTTCAATCCAAAAAAGGTACATATTTAAAATTCTATTAAATATATATTTTTCATATGTGATAATATGTCATATGTGATAATATGTTCCATATGTGATAATATGTTCTGTGATAATATGTCATAATCTTGGCTAATGATGTTAAAAATTCATAAATTATATCAGAATGTTTAGTGTTTGTCTAACTAAAATTTCATGTTAGTTAGTACAAACTCAAAGAATTATTAATTACTTAAAATGCAAATTTATTTATTTATGTATATTGTATATGTATAATATGTGATAAATATATAAAATATGTGAATCAAAATATATCAAAATATGGGATATTGATTATGTAATTACCAAAAATTAAAAAATGGGGAAATATATAATTATTTTTATTTGGTGAATTTCAGTTGTACAGTCAAAAGTCTTTAATCCGGACGTCCATAATCTGGAATGATCTATAATCCGGACCTTAAAGCTACAAACATTCTGCACATGCGTAAACGCATAATGCATTTATGCATGTGCATAATACCTTTATGCGTGCACATATACGTATACGCATGCGCATTTAATGTATAACGGATGGTGTAAACTAAAATTATCTAATTATCTATTTCAAATTATCTAATTTATTAAAATATACAAACACAAATCTAAGCTAAAATTATCCATTTCAGTTAATGTTGCAGATTGCGTTGTTCCTTAATCTTCGAATTGGATCCGGCTTATTATTTTTTACAGACTGTTAGAGCAATTTTATAAAAGTAAGCTTGAACTTTCGATTATGTCAAAAAGTATTTCCTATTCTGGAGCTGCCAAAGGATCTACAAAACGAAAGCATGTTTTGATGTCCATCAAACAAAAAGTGGAATTGCTGCAAAAAGTGGATAAAGGCATATCCTTTGTTTCTCTAACCATTCCGAAATCTGTTTATCAATTTCACGCTGCTGAGGGGAACGTTGCGGCACACGATGAACTGGAAGTTGATCTGTCAGCACTATCCTTAACTTCAGGGCAGATGTTTTTATTTTATTAGGCTTATAATTCATTACTAAATATAGTATTTCATCTCGATGTGCTCTGTCTTTGATATGATTTAAATCAAATTCATTATAAATATCACGAATACACATTGAACAGTTTTCTGGTTGCAATTTTTCAATTTCGACTATGCGTAATATATGCTTTATGCATGCGCATGTTGAAAGAAATGTTAAATAAAGTAAACAAATAAATATTAACCTTTTTTTTGTTGTAAATTTTGATACCCTTTAGATCATAATTGCTCTTTATTTCATAAATTATGGTTTCATATTTGTAATTTTATAATTTCTGCATGCCATCTTACCAGATTTAAACTGATGATCTATAATCTGGAAAAACCGATAATCTGGAATCTCCGAAGTCCCGACGTGTCCGGATTAAAGACTTTTGACTAGTTATTTTTTAAATATTTAATATACATAGTCGGAAAAATTGTTTAAATATATATATATTTTAAAAATTATTATTGTTAGAGTTGATATTCAATGATTTTTATACGGATTTGGCAATATATAGTAGTAATTGGCAATATATAAGTTTTAGACTTTTTTTTGGGGCGGGGGGGGGAGGTGAGGCATAGAGGTATGGATTTTTTAGAACATTCCCATCTGTCCTTTTTTTTTTTTTTTTTTTTTTTTTTAGATCTTGTTCACTTTGTATCTAAATATTCTTTGTTTTCAGCTTTTTATGTGATTAAATTATCAGCTTTTTGTTTAAGTTATCAATTTTTCATTTGAGAATTGTTACTTTCATCTCTGATCTATTTATTATGACTATCCCTCAAGTAATCTTTTTTTTGGAGGGGGGAGAAGCGGGGAATTTGCAAATAGTCATTTCTGTGTAGAGCAAAAGAATGATATCTTTTAGCTTTGTGAGAGCTACCTATGCAGTATTCTTCATTTAAATAATTGCTATCAACTGGAGTTACAATTAATGTTAAATTTTTTGGTATTTTCCTGTTATATTGGTTATTTTCCTGTTGTTCCTTTTGGGGGGGATTAATTGTATACAGTTTCTTGTTATAAGTATAGTTTATAGATAGTAATATATTATTACAAATAGCATTTATTATTATGAATTTTTTTTTATTCTTTATTACTGAAAAACATAAGCTGAAATGAAGGAAGACACTAAACAGGAGACATAAATTTACAAATATCCTATGGCAGAAAACAGTAGGTGGCTCCAAATGAATTTTACTAAATAGGAACTAAAATGCTGACGACGATGCCTCTTTGGCATTTGTTCTATCATTTAGCACTGCCCCCAAAACGTTTGATAGATAGCAGTGGTAGCTTGTGACTGGGTCAGTAAACTTGAACAATTGATTCATTGTGAAGTGATCTTATCCTGCAGCTTTCAACTCAGATGATTTGTAACCTTTTCAGCAGTCTGAGAATATCATTGTTCCATCTGATATATTCTCTATAGCATCCATTAACCGCTTAGTAGAGGGATCTAGAATATTGACTAAGAAGCATTCTTCCATTTCTTGACACAAACATACGAAAAACCATTGTGAAAGTAATACACAACCTATGTAATATTTCCTTTTTGTGAATAAACTTTTGATGATTTTGTCAGTACCACCGATCTTAGTTTTAGGACAAGACATCAAAGAATTACAATAAACTTCTTGAAGATAGACATGTAGTATGTGAATTTGGCATCTATAAAATATTCTCGTAACTAGAAACTGTTTACAACTAAGAAACCTGAAAAAATGCATGGCAGCAGCATTACAGAAAAGTACCAATTTTTCATTTGTATCCTATCTGTTATTCAGGAGATCTGCATGAACTTTGAATATACAATAATTTATTAATTCAGATTTTTTACTTTGTCTCAAATTTGGCCTTAACTTCAATGTTCTGAAATATTAAATTAGAAAGAAAGTCAGTATTGAGTTCTAAGATTAAATTGTAATTTTTCTATATATTCCTTTGCTGTATTTAATGCTTGTGCTCTGGGTGTAAGATTTCTTGACATTTTTAATTTCTTGAGAATTTTTGTGATGTTATTTGTAATTAAACTCAGTTTGGTTTTGCTGTAATTGGATATTTAAATTTATAGTATCAAATATTCATCTATAAATATTAATATAATAATTTAATTAATTTTGATTTGTGATATTTAAATTATCAAACTCGAGTTTTTTACTGCTTACTATGCTTTGAGGATATTTTCTTTCTTTTCTTTCTTCCTTACTTATTTACTTAAAATATTATTTTTTTTTTAATGTTGAATTCTTATGCAAACAAAAACAGCAATGAATATATAAACAGGAAAGAAAATCTATGCTTGATTATTTTCATGTTATGTGTATATGAGAGATGTAAAAATTGATAGTTAAAGGGCAAAAGTTATATTTATTTGGCTTTAAATTTTGCTTAATAAACAAAATTTAGCAATTTGTAATATTAATTAAGGGCCTATAAAGATTTGTTATTTTCTGATTATCTGCATTTCTTACCAAAAAGTCACCTCATCAGTCAAAGTGTCAATTTTTGGGCAGTATTTGCAAATTTGTTGGTGACTAATCTTTCATTAAGCTAATGCATGAAAAGGAACAGCCATTTTCAAAATAGCACTGTATTAAGAGTTCCATACAAGAGCAATGAGTCAATAAAATTAAAAAGCATCAGTCATGAAACAATCTTTTATAAGTCCTTTTTTTTTTGCATTCTTGTTCTCTTGTTCTTCCTATGTACACAGCAATCTATTTTTTGCTTTAAAAAAATTAAAGAATTACACTGAAGCTAAAAAATATCACTCCTTTCTGCATCGTACAATGTTGGCATTGCATTCCAGTCAATGTAGGTGTGTGTTACACTCATATCTAGGTTGCAACATAAATACTTTTTAATGATATTGTGGGTTACCGTGTATTTATTTTGGCAACATACAGCTTTGCCTCATCAATACTTTTTCAGAACATTTCATTAGAGTGTGGGTAATTAGAAAGTACTCAAGATTTAATATCCAATATCTGCATATATATTTACTTTTTGTTTAATAGAATACAACTAAAATTTGACTATTCAGTTTTTTTTTTTTTCATTAAAGTAGTTAGATATAAAATATTATTTGCTCTTTACTTGGTAGTAAGTTTAATTTTGAGCCTTCTGCTCTCAGTTGATCTAAATATGTTGTCATTTGCTAAACATTATAAGAAAGTTAAATTTTTAAATGAGAAACTTGCATTTATCATTAGATTTTTGTTTTGCAAAGTTTTCTGCTGTAGACAAATATAATGGATTGTAAGAAAGGAATTCTCATCTGTTAGGTGTAATTTGATGAGCATCATCTTTCTCATTATTGCTCTGAGAATTATTCTGGTTGCTTCCAGATACTGTATCTCATTTCTGCTTTATTATGTAGACATTCTGGGGGTTGGAAGATAGTACAGTCAAAAGTTGTTAATCCGGACTCGTCGGGACTTCAGCGATTCCGGATTATCGATTTGTCCGGATTATAGATCATCAATTTAAATCTGGTAAGATGGCATGTAGAAATTATAAAATTAAAAATATGAAACCGTAGTTTTTGAAATAAAGAACAATTATGATATAATGAGTATCAAAATTTAACAAAAAAAAAAAAAAAAAAAAAAAAAAAAAAACTTAATATTTATTTGTTTACTTTATTAAACATTTCTTTCAATGTAAGTTGTTTAAGTTGCTTCGTTTTTTATGTGATAATACATTCTCTTTAATTCTATAAACAGACATAATTTCTTGTTCAGTTACAAAGTTTCGCTGTTCAAGTCCTATAATTGCTGTGTTGAGAATACCGACTAATTTGTCAATCGAAATTATTTCGTTTTTCAATAACCTCTGTCACTTTCTTCGCTATCGGAAGCAAATTATAATGACGAGGAATTTGATTTAAATCATATCAAAGACGGAGTACATCAAGATGAAATACTACATTTAGTAAGGAATTATAAGCAAATAAAATAAAAACATCTGCCCTGAAGATAA